CATGCAACAAAAGGTACAACGACTCGATTAATACCACACAACTGATTGACGGCTTCATCTGATAAAAACGTAATTTGAATTCTCTTGTACACAAACTTTACACTCCTCCGTGGATCCTGGTGGTTCTAGTCGTTGAGAGAATGGATTCACAGCTGCAGTAGCATACCACTTCAAAGTGCACGGAGAACAGGCAGGGGGTGTAGTGGTGCCCGGATGCCGTCTCCACCGTCCGCGCGCGGTATGGCCAGCCACATGCCTAACCGCAATCAGGCGCGCTACTTGTCTACGCCCTCTCACTTGCGGTTTTTCTCTACCGCTGAGTACGTGTTTCGCTGCCGACCTTGGTATCGAGGCAAGTGCTGCATAAGATAGCGTAGCTGGAGTATGGCGGCAGCATTCGGGTACCACTACCCTACAGCCCCGCTCTCGTGCAATTTCGAGCGGAGAAAGTGGCAGGCTACTGCAGCTGCGACCCCTCCGTCTCGTACGAGGCAGAGACCATCCTTGGAGGCAATTGTACACTCTGTCTTTGAATCGACGAAGCTTCATACAAGTACATTGGGCTTTACATCTCAGAAAAATGTAACGAGTTCTGAACTGAATTATTTCAAGGAGTCAATATGCCTACTCGGAGGTGGGTAGATGAAAAAGATGATGAGGTAGAACAATTCATCAGCAACGTTCTCCACTCTTCTTGAATGTTATGGTGCGCAAATTGGCGCCAGCAAGTGGCGGTTGGAGGCGGTCGGGGACAGACGGAACGCGTAGTTGCCTATCACACGATAACTTGTGTCAGCTGGCTTGTCTTGACACGTGAGGGATAGTAATCGTCTAACAAACGTACATACCATCATTGCATCCATAAACTGCCACAGTACCCCTTTTTGTCCAAATAACGATAACTACAAAATAATACCCCAACAGAAATTATTCGATGAAAATTTGCCCTACCGTAATTTGGAGCAAACATCGGATTTTCCAAAGTGGGTTGATATCCTTCTGGTGGTGAATAGCCTCGACACACCACAAACGCCTCTATAAATGCAATTAATAAATTTGCCCAGTTATGAGCGGAAAATTTAAAGAAATTTTAAGGCAAAAAAAGCTTTTTCTAGCTTACCACAACTGCTTTGTCTGCTGCTTTTCGGCTTAGCACAATACACTTCTTTGAAAAATATTTTTAGTTGTGCATACAGTAAGGTGGCATTTCGAGCTCGAAATATCTGAAATAAGAAAATATTTGGGATCTAGCGTTGCCTAATCTGAGAATGATGACCACATCTGTAAGAGTGTGTAAAATCACTGCTAATAAAGTGGATAGGTGACAAAGTGCTTTGAAACACGTTTTTTGCTTGGGTCATAAGAACAAGTTTCGCGGGTGGCAATAAAACTATCTATCAGATCACTGCACGTGGAAATCCACATCTCTACTCTGTTCACAGGTATTAGCGCCGCAAATCGAGGCTACATGGCTCTGCGGTTTTCCGTAAAATCCGAATGCATTGGCACGTTAAAAAAAAGATTCTGAGCCTTCCAGTGCATAGTGCCACACAAGACCGATGGGGGACCAGAGAGAAGCTTCACTCCTATGGTGCACGGCAGTTTCACTATGCGCGGATCTGAGACTACGCCTTTCAAGAAGTAGTAGACGCTTTGAACGTAAGTGTGGAAAGCAGTGCTGACGCCGCCGATCCAGAGACTACTCCGAGCCTCCTGAACGGTGAACAGCTCCTTGAACGTTGACACCCTTGATTATACAATATTCGAATCCGCACTATTGATGCTAGGGGACATAGAGGATCGAATTTTTAATGCTAATGTTTAACTTTCACATATTTTATGGATATCGTTGCGTGTTTCCAACCTAATTCACTAGAAAGACACGACCCTTTGTCTCTTGAGCATCTGTCTTTCACAGATGCTTCCGGGTCCGACAAGCGGAATATTGACACGAACGACCCGCCGCGGTGACGAAATCCCATCAGGCGTTGCTTTTGGATATCCATTCAAGTCAGAGCCGTGGGACATGAAGGCATAACAAAGCAACACAACTATGTACTTCCCGAGCATTCGACGGCAAATGATATTAGGTTGTTCGGAAAGAAATGCGCGTTGAATTTGTCCATTTATTTCTCTCCTACTATAGAAGATTTTTTGAAACAGTTTTGTCTATTAGAAAGATTTTTATTGTGCATCTTTGATATATTTTTGTCTATATACATTTTGTTTTTTCCAAAAAAAAGTTACTTCTTCTCTCTTCTTACTGCGTCGTCAAGGTGTCGAAACGACGTCGACAAAACTCCTCCACCATAACGCTCGTCCACATGTCGCGAAAATCACTTTGGAAAAAATTGAGGAATTGGGCTGGGAAGTCCTGCCTCATCCGCCATACAGCCCAGACCTGGCACCATCCGATTATCATCTGTTCCGGTCGATCAGCACTCCCTGCTCGAGAGAAAGTTCACAAACCGCGAAGAAGTCCAACTCTGGGTGTCAACTTCTTATGAAGGCGCAGCCGTGTGAGTTCTTCAAAGAAGGGCATCCATGTTTGTGCATAAACGTTGGCAACAAGTCATTGATAGTAATGGAGATTATCTTTTGAATTAATCTTGTTTAACTTCATTTTCTTATAATAAAAAATTTTTCAAAATCAAACGCGCATTTCTTTCGAGCAACCCAATAGCGTACCTTGTAGGATATTAGGCTTGGCTTCCATAAAGATTATCTGAACCATCGTGACCGCGATCACACACACACGCACACACGCCACACACACCACACACACACACACACACACCATGGATGATGGACACCACGCCCCTTCAAGATATGTTATTCCGTGTTCATTTGATGTTCTTCGCACACCACCTTTGGACATGATAGTCCATGATAAGCATATGTACCACTTTCGCAGCTCAAAAGTACACAAATAAGGGGCCGCTTGCTCTTGATGGAACATTGGCTCCGCCCACTGGCTACGGCTACGCCCAATTTTCATTTCTACAGATTTCCTGGTGACGCGATTGTTCGATGCGATTGATTGCTATTGGTTTCTTTGTTTCGAATGGTGATAGCGAGGTGACAAGGAAAGAGAAAGCTCCCAGCAACTGAAAACTCGTCCTACCACGCCCGTATCGCCTTGCAACAGACGGCAGTCCAGCGTTAGATCTATATGCGTCATATGACCTCCTTTTTTCTGTTTTTTTTTCTTCTCCTCTGTTTTTCGTCACCTTGTCAGTAGTTTGAGCCGTACAACCGGAATTTATGAACGCGGGCGTGCCTTTCAAGAAATTGATTGATTCTGAGATGAGCTGATCAGACGAGTTTGGCTCGAAACGGCTTACTTCTCAAATTATTCTGCATTTAGATAAACTGCAGAACAAATATATTGGTAATCTCGATTTACTAAAGAATCAAAATCCAATTTCGGGGCAGAATTTGGTAACATTCATGCTATGACTAGGAGGCTAGTTGACTCATAATCAATGAATGGGCATTACTAAAACTTTAGAAGATGACGATTGATCACTGAAACTTATTAATGAGATATCAGCGTGAGAGGTGGTCACATGGGACCACAACCGCATGGAACGACCACTAAACACTGTCAGAATTTCCTCAGAATATTCGTCAATATTCAAAAGATCCGAACCCGTGGGAGTCAACGAGCCCATCCATCCCTTTCGTCCATAAATTGGTACCAGACTCGACAGGTAGTGTAAGAACTCTGACTTCATTCCCAGCTAACCACACAATCTATCGCATCTCCTTTGTCCATGTTCTCTTCTCTATTATTCCGAGCAGACGTCGGAATCTCCATTAAATACAATCCCTCCCCTCCCAATGCCCTCCGGTACTATCCCGTTTCCACAAAAAACGGGTGAGGCATCTCCGAATAGTTACCAGATATTGTAGTTTTGCTGTGTCGTCCATTAGGGTTGGTATATAAAGCGCATGAGAAGGCAAAACTCAGCAATTAAGAAAAAAAAACCTACTCGAACCAAATACGACCCCCATCCGTCCCATCAGAGAACACCAGAAATGGGTAAAAATCTCTATTCTTGTCCTACACCTTTTCATATTAGTGAGTTGTATAAGTTAATTCTCAAGGATCGAGCTTTCCAGTCAACACGAAAATTCCCATAGGTACCTGGGACAAGTGCCCATTTATTTCCTAGAATGCCGGCGACTACGATGAAAAGTGATCTTGATTTCAATTGCAACAGTCAGAAGCTCCCAAGGTTGGTGAGCAAGTTGACCTGGGTATGGTCTCAGCCTCTCGCTTAGGTGTCCTCACACTTTTGGTACAAAAAATTCAAAGAAATTTTCCCAGCAATAAAAAATGTGAAACGTCCACAAGGTGCTGTGGAGCGGAGTATACTGCATTTCCGTACCCGAGGAATTGAATAGGGGAGATCTCGTTTCACCAGGATCAAGGGTGCTCGGGTAGAGTAGGGAGTTTAGGGCATCTACGTACTTTTGTTATGCACTGTATTCTTGTCCTACACCCTTTCGCATCAATGCAAGTCCTCCTCGACGGGCCAGGTGTGGCCCCTTTTGGACGCT